TCCCTGTATCCAGCCCGGCAGGGATCACATCAGAAAACTGAACCCCATGTGGAAAAAACCAGTAACATCCTTCCTGTATATATCAAGGATGAAACATATACAGTGACCACCCATATCATGCATTAACTAATCAGAATTATAAACATATACAGTGACCACCCATATCATGCTTTAGCTAATCAGAATTACAGAATGTAGAAGAGGGCTGCACCGGGATTAGTAGGGCTGGAACAAATTTAATGGTGAATCACAATAAACAGAACAAGAAGCTGAATTACGAGGAAACATCAAGTCCATAACATGTTAGAAAACCAACAGCTATTATGATTAAGTGACGCAGAAACCCTAACTATTCACTACCAGTGTTTTATTCTTAAAGGGTGCTCACAGTTGTATTACTATTAGTGTTTTTAACATCACACCGTTTTTTTATATTTCAAATTGCGCTGTTAATGATAACACTTGTAATACACCAATATACTTCACACAGGTTTTCATGTCTTGGCGCTATGATTAACAATACTGAAGATAGCACACCAACAGAAAAAGCATTCCGAGGCCCAGATGGCCAATATATTGGAACGAATCAATATCCATATTAATGTGGTACATTCCAATATGAGTATTGTCCAAATCCAGAGAGAAATGTAAGGACTTGTAACAAAGATATTAATATTAATACGAATGAAGAAAGAACGTGTGTATAAACTTGTGTTTAAGCACCAGAACAGAGGACTCATTAGCTGAAGGTCCTGTGCTCTGAAAGTAGGAGGACGATAACAAGGTTGCTGCATTTCATAAACACAGCTCCTTTTTCTCTTAGCCCAAGAGGACAGCAGACTATAGCAAAGCACCACCCCAGGGCCTGATAACTAGTATACCTAGGCCGCTGTGTCACAGGCAAGCTAGACCTCTTGGGAAAAAAAAAAAAGAAAACCAACAAACAAACAAAAAAAGAAAGAGTTCTTTTTGTGAGTTCTTGCTTGTGAGTGCAACAGTGAAAGTGGGTAAACATCAACCTAGACATTTTGTAAATAATTACCACCTTCCCCTTCCGTGTAGTTTTTGTCATGGTAACTTCCTACCTAAGCATACCCCTTTATCTGGATAGTTTGGGTTAAATTTTGCAGTAGTATAGTACTTCTAGCTATAATTCCTAGTTTTTCCTCTTAGTTAAAGAGCAGTGACACATACCTTTGCAAAGGTCTACTGAAAACCTTTTAAAACAGTATTTGGAGATTACTTTGCCTATAAAGAAATCCTGTACAAAGCAGTGAAAACTAGAAGCAGCACACGGTAGTTTGAACATATGAGAAAGGGGTGCAAGTATGCATGCACTTTTATCAAACAGTTTTTCATGTTATCAATGTAATTATATCTACTTTACTATTATATCTACTATTTTAAAATTAACAAAGATTTGACTAACAAATTAATACAGTACACAGAAAAATATCACTTCACCTAGAGAGAACTCCCAAAATTTCTAACTTTACTCAGGTTTACTATTAACTCTAAAGGAAAACAAGACTACAGTTTTATCTGAGAACAGAGATAATTGGTTCACCTGTTCAAAGATCCAGGGAAGAACACAAGCCCTCTATCTCATTTTGAAGATGGGCTGTAACAATAAAATTACCCAGAACGTATTTTGTAAACACCAGTTCTCACTAAAAGAAGTGAAATCCAGGTTATGGATTGATTTTAAAGGAAAATTAAAATACTAATTGTTTAGCAGTTAAGCAAAAGGCAACTTTGAACATACTCAGCAGTAAGCCATGTGCTGTATCTCCAGGCGGCTGCCTTCTAGATGCTTCTGCTGAAGGCAACACTCCTTCCTCCAGCGTAGGGAACTCCGTCAGGTCATTTCTATCGCAAGTCAGGCCAAGCTTTGTCTCCAAGGCAGCAGTTAAATGGCTGGCATCCATTTCTGATGGAAGTTGATACCATGACTCAGTTCCCTAAGAACAGGAAGGAAGAGGGGAAAAAAAAAAAATTTTTAAGCACCAAGAAAGTTGTATAAGACATATTTCCAAAGGAATTAATGACTAAGTTGTGAAACAATTAAATTATTGCTTCTAAATTGTATTTCCCACACAGTTTTTAATGTAAAAGAATTATGATGCACTATGAACTGAAGGCCAGTCAGTTCTCATTACTGCCTAAGTTGTCATCGCTCAGTATCTGATCATCAGCCTTCCATCACTTGTCTGAAACTGAGCTCCGTCTCCAAATCCTGCCACTGCAGAAGACTTTTTCCAAACCACAATGAAATCTCCCACTTAAAGAAAAATCTTGATAAGGACAAATGCTTCAGTAGGATGCTACACCAATATAATTCCTGACACCACGTAGTAAAGATGGTTTGCACTGTACAGCTGGGGATTAACAAGCAGAACAGTTTCTGACTTCTCTTTACAGAAAGTTTCTAGTTTCAGAAATTATGAGTTCATACAGATATTGCCTGTGAATTGTAGCCAATTCTTTGGTATATTTCAAGGAGAAGACTTTCAGTTCATGTTCAAATGGAAAGGAGCATCTTTAGTTCACATAATTCATTAAAGAATTTGCATTGGGATTACTGGGGAAGTAATTAAACAGATAAATTTTAATTATAGAAAAGGCACAGATCAGTCTTCAGTGCAGAGAATTAAGAATACCAATCATTTATAAGGCAAACCATTATCATCAGCATATATAACTTATAATTACCTATACATTAATATAAGCAAGAAAGTGTCCCAGTGAATTGGTAGAAGTACAGTAGTACCTCTACTTATTACCTGCAAGCTATTCTACCTTTTGAAATACTACTAAAGTATTAAAAGCTACTTTTCACATCAGAATTTTGCTATATGAGCTACAATTTTTGCACAAGATTCTCATAATCATTTGGAAATAAAATTTTTTATCAACTCAGTCTTTTCAAAACACTTGTGATCTTATGCAATTCTCAGAGTAATTAAATATGTGGCAGCATATCCATCAGATAGAACTACTATGACTGTATCACGATGTGAGTACAGTTTTCCTTAATCACATATGGAACACATCAGTAAAACTCAGGTCTAAAAGCAGCCAGATTTCACATGAACTGAAGCATGGCTGTGTCCTATCATGTAAATCACCTATTTTGAGGTAGACAGATCTGACAATTTAAGAGGTAGTAGCAGGACCAGGTTTATAGCAACTTATAAACTGAATACAGATCAAAGGTACTGTTGCAAAAAAGAAAACATTACACTGGAAAATATACTATATTTCCGGTTTATAACCACAAAACAGAAAAGGGCGGCGGGAGGGGGGCGTAAAAATCACTGAACTACTGGGGATTCAGTTTTGAACGATAAATGTCAAAAAAGGTTTCTGGCACTTGGATCAAGACTACATCAGATGACTTGTCAGAGTTCACAACAGTCGGTTTTTCTGCACTTCCAAGATACAGAAAAACAGACCTTTACAGGGCGAGGACAGTGGAGTCTAAATTACACAGATAAAGCACTTCATATTACTTTCAATCACATAATTAACCTGCAACCACAAGCAAAACAAAGCACAGCACAAATACCCAATCAGTGGTAGCTTTCTGACGTATTAATTCTCCTAGGGAGATCTGGCTGGTAGCTGATGCCAGGGTTTCGTTGCTGCTGTGGCTTGAGGATTCGTCCTTCCTGCTACGACGTGGTGGAGTTGTTGCAATAGGCTAAAAGAAACAAACAATATGTGTTTTCAAAACAGAAAATAATTTCTTAGGATTTCAACGTGTATATACTTAAGTAAAGGACAATGAAATATATAAATTACTCAAGCCATCCCCAACACTGGAAGTGAGGCATCTACCTCTAACGTACTTAAGCAGTGACCTAAATTCCATCCAGAGTCCCAAAACTTAACTAAAAGGAGCAGGTTCATTTGCCACTTTAGATCTCAAAAAACAGTGAGCATGGTTTGCTCTCCATCACCTTTGAAAGGTCGTGGAGAAGAGGAGAGATGCCTGAGGACTGGAGGAAAGCCAATGTCACTCCCGTCTTCAAAAAGGGCAAGAAGGGGCACCCAGGGAGCTACAAGTCAGTCAGCCTCACCTCCGTCCCTGGAA